TCTTCAAACAACCGCTCCAAATGGATCTCCTTAACGTCCGCAAGGCCAAGGGAACTCCACTGCAAGCACCCTCGAGCGACAATGGCCCAAGCCTTACAAAATTTCCTCCTGTCAGAGTCCTCTATTCTGCGAAGTGAAGTTGATCCACCCAAATCACAGGCGCCAGCACCATCCAAAGTAGAAGCAGCGACTCTAGCAAATCGCGCCACTTTCGCAGCCGGCTCCCCAACTTCAACAGAAAACACCTGTCGTTCAGTGCTAGACCAAGTAGGAACTTCTGCGCGGGAAATTCGCACGGCAGGATTTGCCAAGCCACCAGTATTCAAAGAAAAACAAGAGCACGCATGTTGAGGATTGGCCCTACCACTCCCCAGCGAAGGGTGGCCGGGCGCTTTGTGAACATGAAATGTCCACGGCATTGCAACAAAAAGAAGGCAGCAAGCGAAAGCAAGAAGCGCACCAGCGAAAAGACAAAAGTGCGCAGAAATATGCGACTCCTGCAGCAATTTCTGCCATGAAAACGGCTGCAGCTGTGAGTGTACGGTGCATGCGCAAGGTGACGCTATACGCAGGCATACCTGTAAAATGGCCGGCTGCACTGCGCAAGCGAACGCACGTCCTCCAAGAGGACTTCTAAAGCTTTCAGCTCTGAACCGACGTCGTCGCTCAAGAAGTTCCACAAAGCGAGATTTCAAGATTACAAAATTTCACGCACAATCCACTTAGCCAAAGAGCGCCCCTAATTCTTGCTTTCCCTGAAGCAGCCGCAGCAAAAGCTCTTCTCCCTGAGTCGGGTTTACCCCTTGTCCCGCCATCGCTCACCTAGCGTTTGTGAGCCCTCGACAGTCTATTTAAGAACGTCTTGGGGAAACCCTTCCGGTGGAGGCCCGCGTTGTGGAACCACGGCTGTAGCTTCTTCAAGTGCCATTGTTTTGTTTCACAGGTGGGGCCCAATTGGCCCTCGCACGCTCCTGGATCAGTCGCTGCCTTCTTCTGCAGCACATGACAGGGAGCTCCGCTACCATGAATCTCGATTTTAGCCAAAGGCACTTGAGCCGAAACCCCAGTCGCATGTACACATCAAACATGCAGGAAGCATGCAAGTGAAACTGTCCTACTCCTAACTTAAAACCAACCCTCAACTCCAGTCAGCGAACGTGGAAAATCAACATTTCAAGACTTTCAACAAATGCGGAAAAATGAAACACTACAACGTGAAAAAACACCCTGGGAATTTAAACTGTGCGTCGACCCAACGGGTTCGGTGGGCCCGCGTGACCTCCCATTGTTTCACCCTGAATTCATTTCGTGCTTGGAGCGAGTCCTCTGGACTCTCAGCTCAACGAAAGAAAGAACCAACATATATATATATATCTTACATATATTTTATGTAAAAGGTGTTTCAACTCGAGTGTCTTGATTACTGTAGTACATATTTTAGGATAATCTAGCATAAAGGTTACAACATTATGGAATACGCTCAATAGGCTAGACTGGAAGTCAGCGGTAAGCTCGAAGGTACGGTGCCGTGTGCCCTGGTGCCACTGCGGATGGTCTGATGTTTTGGTGTGGCCGGGGGGGGCCGGCCAAACCTTTTGCTCGCAAGCCACAACATCTGCCATCTGCTGATCGTCTTTTTTTTCAGCGGCGACGCCGCTGCTACAAGAGCAACTGCTGCCCGATAACAGCCTTACAGCGAAACCTGCGCTCTCATGAATGCACTGTGGGTTAAACCCTTCCGTCATGCAGCGTTTCGTTCCAGTTGTTCCGGTTCTGGTGTCCGATGTGTAAAGCAAACAAGCCGAGGGCTGCTGCGACTCCGAGCGCCGGGCCGGCGAAGCCACGGGCACGGGGGGCACGGGAAGGGCCAGGGGCGCCGGTGCCGCAGCCGGGGCAGGAGATGGCACCTCGGAGACTCGAAGCGCTAGCAGCCGCTAGCAGAGGCCCGGCGCTAAAGCTACAGTTCTTCTGCAGGTCTCAGCGGCCTCACCGTGCAGCGCCTGCTTCCCGAGTGGCACAGTCAAGTGCCAAAGCAATGTTTGAACCAGAGTGCGAAACCCACTCGCAAGAGATTCCAGAGAGCCTCCTGGATGTCGTGGGCCGTGACATCGGAGAGGCCCTGAAAGGAGCGAAGAAACGCCTCAAAGGCGTGCGACGTCAATGGCGGGAGACATCGGTGAGCACGATTGTGATACTGTATGTGGCAGGAAAGACTCAGTACTCGATGGGCGCATCAACATGCGAGGCTTTGTGCGGCTTTGAGGAGTCGCTGCCTAGCCCGCCACAGAAGCCCTGCAATATCAGTGCTCGTTTGCGTTCGAGCCCGAGTCTTCTCGACTGTCCATTTGGGCATCCAGACTTTGTTCCTGATTGGCTCGCCATGGTTCCCGTCTTTTTGTGGTGCGTAAGCCTGCTCGTTTTTAATTCATTGGCAACATGTTGTGCAATCGTGGCCTTCTGAGCCTTCACATCTGCCACCCGCGCGAGTGTGGAGACCTGTCACACGAGGGCGCAGCCTAAAAAAAGCTCTCCGTGGCCTGGCTCTCTGTGGCCTCCACGGGCACCGGCGGATACTTCACGGTTGGAAACGCGGCGCTGGGATGCCAGTGGAACTTGGACCTCAGACTGGCGGCATGGCACGCTCCATGCTCGGCATGCTCCCTCCGTTCCTGAGACCAGCACGAAGGTGTGCACGGCTGCCCGTCCAGCGTCAACTGAGAGTTGCGAGAAGTGCCCCTACGATGGAGGCGTGAACTTGGCTTAACTTGGTGGCCTAAAGCTTGCTAGTCTTACCCTTCGAAGCCGGAGAAGATGGCTTTGTTGGGTGTCTTGTCGGGAAGAGGCCTGCGACTGGCCTGCTTTGCTCGCTTGCAAGCAGGTTTACAAATGCAGCGAACTCGAGACTCTGGCCCAACCCTCGAGCGGGTCGTCTTCGAAGACGCTTTGCAACAGCGCAGCCTGTCAGCTCTCTCAGAACATCCCTGCGAGGCTGAGGGCATGTGAGTACAGGGGGGCCCCTGCCCCGTGCTGTGTCTTCAGGGAGACCTGCAGAGAAGCGGCGGCTGCTTGGTGCAGAGAGACTCCGAAAAAAAAGGCACAGGAGCGACGCCTTCCGGTACTGGCAGCCATCTCGCCGGGGTTCGGGGCTCGTGTAAGCACTCCCAGCGCTCACAGCCGTGCTGGCGGCCTGGCGATGCTTTTCTGTCAACTTGGTTGCTCTCTATGGTCGCAGCTGAGGCCTCTGCAAGGAAGAGGGCCAACATCATCATCTCCCCTTGTCCCCTCCCGGGCAGGCCGGGCTGCTACATTCCGCGCATCACCTGAAGTGCGCAGCCACTTTGAATTTCAGTCACCTGCACAGCGGCTGGACTTCCAGACTCTTCTTTATGAACCGTTATAAGGAGCAGGCAGCTGCTGCTCGTGGGCACAGCTGGGATTTGAGCCCGGTGCGAGGCGGCCCGGAAATCAGGAGGCAAACGAAGCAGGGCAAACGAACTGCAGGCTTTGGATGCTCAGTGCTTCCTCGGCTCGGACACCTTTCACAGCCCATCCGAACGCAAGGGCTCAAGGGTCGATGGTCGAATTACGCTGGCACACCCTTCACGCTTAGAGCGAGGGGAACTCGGCTTCGTAAGTTGTCACCGCATACCTGCCCCGAAGCCGCGAACAGGATCAAAGAGATTGCTCATTCTTTCCCAGCCTGGAGCTTTGAACGGACCTTGGAGAGACGGGGCCATATGATTGCATTGTGCGCAGGTGTCCAAGATGGGCGTCGCACGTCTCAGCTGGAGCCAAACGAGGAGCCTCTGTCTCAGGGAAGCGAAGGGCCCGCCGGAAATTTTGGCATGGTATGCGGCTACAGGCCGGAGGCTCATGTTTCTGGTTGTCCTAGGCCCTAGGCCCCTTCCTGTTCTCGGAGTCACTGTCAGCGTTCTACCGAGCCCGCTGTCAGCTCTGTTCCGGGACGGTGGCTTGACGGCTGGGCGCCTTCTCATCCAAACTTCGCAATATCCACTGAGATCTTATGACGTACTTACACTTCATCACAAGCTACAGTCAGACTTGAGATGGCGACTGAGAACTCTCCATGTCTAGTTGTAAGGAAGGAGACAAAGACAGTCTCTCGTCAGTTCTGTCTTTCAACACAACAGCTTATCTACACAGGAATGTTGACAACAAATTGTACTCATCGTTGAACCAGACTCGGCGGAAGCTGCCTGATCCCACATATATAGAAGATGAAGATCTTACACCTCTAAGCAAAAACAAAGACTGTTTCGAGGACCACCGGAGCGGTGGCAGCTCTCAGTCCAAACCCGCGAGCGCCTTTAGCTGCAGCGGTTTTGATGTACAATGTTAGATAGAGGCCGAGGGAAACCCGATCTGCCCCGTCCCCGTCCGTTTCTTTACCGCTGGGTTGCAGACGTACCGATGAGGATTGCGATCATAATCCTTTCAGCTGAGAGCTGGTCAGTATGCTGCCGCAGGATCTCCTGGCACGAGTCTCAGGTGCCAGCCGGATCATCTGCATCAGTCCCACGCAGGCGGCTCCTGTCCTTGCGTCGAAAAGCGGAGCATACTGAGTACTCTGAAATTTTGTAGCGAGAGCACGGCATTGTTGGGTGGCGGCTGTCGTGGCTGGCCTGTGGCTTTTTCTGTTCTCAAGGCCGGAAGTGCTCGCTTATGATTTCATGGCCAGTACCACCTCGTCCTCTGCCGCGACCACGACCACCACGTTCTGCCATGCAAACACAAACACGCAAACACACAACCACAAAAACACAAAAGCAAACCCAAACACGCAACCAAACAAACACACACACACACACAAACACACACACACACAAACACACACACACACACACCTACCTACACCTACCTACACCGCTACACACCTCGACACACCCACCCAACCCACCCACCCACCCACCCACCCAACCCACCCACCCACCCACCCCACCCCCCAATACCCACATATCCCCACACACACACACCCACAGACACCCGCAGACACCCACAAACACCCACAAACACCAAACACCCACACACACACCTACACACACACACCCACAGACACCCGCAGACACCCACACACCCACAAACACCAAACACCCACACACACACACACACCTACACACACACACACCCACCCACGCACACCCGCGTCAAAACTCTTTTCTCAGCTTTCAGTTTCAATCTCTTGACCTCGGTCATATTATTTTGCTCTTTTCCTGAAGCTCCACTTTCTCGATTGCGTTTCTTGTCTTTCTCTTTCCGGTCCGCAAGCTCTGGAACGCGAACGACGTCTTCTACATCTCTTGGTGATCTACTGTGTGAAGCAGAATCGCAGCGATATACATTGATCTGCACCGTCGGCATTGCGTAGACAACGATGCTACAAGGGTATTACCAAATTGTGAAGTGTGTTGCAATCACTACAACAGTTCAAACAAACACGACTTGAAACCTCAGTGATGCATAGCACACGATTCTTAAAGACTGATCTTGCAAAAAAAGCTTGCCGACGGTACTCAATCTCCTGAGCACGCATGAACACACACTGATACGTAACGCAACACGACGTCTTCTTTGGGTGTGTTCTAGGTGGCGCTAAGCACAATAACTGAATACAACCCAACGACATGTTGTTGTTACTCAACCATACTTTCATGAACGAAGACGACGGGTACTCTCAAGGTGGCGAATGGGCGCCTGCTGGGTCAAACGATACGATTGGGTGAGCATTGGGTTCACCATCTTGGATGATGATTGTCAAGACCATCAAAGGGAGTGTGTCTCACCTCAGTGAGGCACTTCAGCTTCTGGCAAGGCGGTTATGAATGGGGTTGCGTCAGCCTTCTCTGAACATAGGGGTTGGAAAATATTCTGGTCTGATGCCAGAATGTATGCTGATTTGTTGGGTCCAATTCCGGGGGCCCTTGACAGAATTACCAACCGGTAAACACACTTGGAGTTCCCGGTCTGAGCCGGTTGTCAGCAATCTCCGATATCCTTTCTTGATTGTTGTCGTCGTCGTGGTCTTCGTCTCTTTGCATTTAAGATTATAGAGTTACTGGGCCTGTCGGATTTAGGTGAACTGCAAAGCAGCAACGACATGTAGATGCGATTCTTGGCTTTACGCAGGATTCGCAACATAGGAATCTCAGCTTGGATTCGGGTCTCCCCGCAGACAGTCCGACAGCGCTTTGACAGAGTTACGGCCGGGAAGCACACACATACCCAGTCAGAGCTGGTTGTGTCGTCGTCGAAAGGTGCATTCAGCGGAAGCTCTCTTTGGGTACATTCGATAGGGCTTTTTTTTGGATCTTGTGGACCTACAAGATGCATGGTAGGATATCTGGCAACACGTGGAGTCAGCCGTTATCTATGAGCACAGAAAACGCTTGGAAACATTCAAAATATGATTGGTAAAATGCTACGAAGAGACTGGACGTTGTAGCTCTTCGGATTGAAAACAACTCTTCCTGGCTTTACGCAGGTACGTGATCCCAGCGTCCCGGGATCATATCACACTCAGCAGTCAGGTGTCTTCGTTGGCAGTCAGGTGTCTTCGTTGGCCTAAGCCTTGTCTGTGAACCTCAGCCCCCCCCGCATTCTAGGACATTGCAATAGCTGATCGACAACACTGCTTGCTCTTTGCAACAAAGAGTATAGTATATTGGTTACCCTTAGGAACACGGCTTGCGCACGCATGAACACAAAAATAACGTCGATACATTTGACGAAACATCATATGGTGGAGGCACTTTCTGGGAGTCTACTCGGATGGCAGATTGACCACAAGCTTGCTCTTTCCTTTTGCGTGCTGGCGTCGTCGCCGGCCCATTCCAAGACAGCGCTGAAGGGCCGTTTTTGGGCGCGCCGCGGTGTGAGTGCGCGCAGGACCGCGGAGGACCCCCTGTAGAACTGCGGCCAGGTGGCTCTCTCTCACTGCGTCCTATGCTGGCGCGCGTCTGCAACCATCTCTGGGAATCAAGCCTGTGGTGTCTCCGAAGATGCGCGCTCTTGCGGCGGCATACTCTTCCTCCTGGTCTGTAGAGTTCTCGGCTGCGCGCAGTAATTCACTTTCTGTGCACCTTCTGCTTCAGCGTCTTCGGAGCCGGGGTGGTGGCCTCTGAAGTGTGGTGCGTATTCGGGGCTCGTATCACCCAGAGTCCAGAGCTCAATTAGCTGCCCGCCTTCTCGTCGCTGCGCTCCATGCCTTCCTCTGCCTTTGGTCGCTGCAAGAGCTTGGGTGCCTCGGTTGTCTGTTGAACTGCGCGTGCTTCTTGAGCTAAAGTCAACTCCTTGCTTGCTGAGGGCCAGGCGAGGACTTTCACGTCGCTCACGTCGCTCTCGCTGCTCTGCTCATTCCGTGTGTTCACGCTCGGCCTGGCCGCTCTTTGTTTAGTAGAGACCTTTGCAAAGGGAGCAATTAAAATTAGGCCCCCCCCATATCTGCCATATATCTTTCAAAGGCCTGGATACCGCCTGGGCTCTGTCCGTGAGCCAGTCGTCCATCCTGCGGAACGGACATGTCTGCAACTTAAGCGAAATCGGCAACAGGCCACAAGCCTGGCAGGGAAGATGAAAGCAAAATGGATCTGTGGAGCGTCAATGGTATGTATGTATGTGTATGTGTGTGTATATATATATATATTATATGTATATCTGTGTGTGCGTATGCGTGTGTAAGATACAATACTGCAATATTCTAAGGAGAGTCTTATATTCGAGGCTGTGCGGTGTTGTGTTTGTGTCTGCTGATATACATGACGTTGTCTGCATCTTCTGAGCCCAATGGCTGAAATGGCCTGATAGACGGCATGTGATATCATGGCTGGCGGTTGCTTCCAGATGCCGCTGTTCGCTTTTTCGTTGCATCGCTGCAGAGCTGCTAGGGAAATTTGAAGCTTGGCACCTCAGTCAGACCAGTCGCCCGCCAGTCATCAGTGAACAGAGACAGGAGAGAACCATCGGCCTCCGTGTAGCTGTAGGGAACCTGCCCCCACAAACTCCAAACTACAAGCACTCGGCTTGTGCTCCGAAATCCATCGTGCCTTCACCCCCTGCTTGTACGGGAACAAGCTTTCTTGGATGCTGTCGAAGGTGTCTACGATGGATTGCTTCACGGGGTAGATCGCATACTCCTGCCCGCGCATGGGCCGGGATCCCTGGGACTTGCTACCAGAGAGGCTTGCTGATCTGACCTTGGTGACACGCCAGCATGCGGAACAGCATGCGATAATGGAGGTGATGATGGTGGCCTGGGTCAAGAGATCTGCTTCTGGAGAGCATATATAGACTTGATTGTAAGCTCTGGGCCATGCAGTCCAGAAAAGCGAAGCAGCACTTTTTGCAGCCTCCCTCCTCTTCCTTCTCGGCCACATCTTTGCCTTGAGAGCCGCTCGTTTCAGGGCCATGCAGAGCCAGGGCATCTGAGAATCCCTGCTGCCCTCTTCGTCGGCCATGGGCGTTTCAGGCTCCTGCAGCGGACTTTTGCAGCTCCCCGGCCCCCCCGGACTGCCACGCACGTGTACCCCCAACACGGACCTCCCCGACGCGGGGCGAAGCGCTGGACCCGCTGGATGCTAGATTGGGAAGCCGGGCGGCCGGGAGGGCATAGTTCCACCCAAGCCGAAGCCGCTAGAGCCACAGAAGCCGCAGTGTTGCCCAGATTGCGCATGATAGGGCAGGCACTTGAAGGGCATCACAGGTTCTCAGATGTCGATTTTTTGAAGTGCCCGCAGCCGTTCTGCACGCCATTGCAAGCCTGCGCACGCCCTGTCAGAATCTCAACGGCCTGAGAGGGCGCTAGAGGGTTGGGTGGGCTGGCGGCTCTGCCGCTCTGCACAAGCTCTGCTCTGCTGGGTCAGCTGCTGGAGCTGGAGCGGCGTCTTGCCTTAAAGCCACATTCTAAGGCTCGCCAAGAGCACTTCAAAGGCTGTCTATGCCGAGGCACGCCACGCCGCATGGGCCCTGTCAGTTCGAGTGCACGGGGACAACGTAATTATAGCGTGAAGCACTTGGGCAAACGTTCCTCGAGTGCCGTCGTCACGTGCCTAGGCAGGGCGCAGGGCTTTTTGTGTTGCGGACCACTCCACAAAGGTCCAACCGGTGCATTTTGAGCTCGCGGCAAACTGCACCTTGCGAATCCGGGCAAGCACAACTGCGGTGGGATCCCGTACGTCACCGCTCAACTCGAAGGTGTTGTTGCCACCAGACAAGCCCATCACCTGAAACGCAGCAGCTTTCCTTCAAGTGGATGTTGACGCGCAACGCACGCGCAGTTTCCAAGTGTTTACGAACGGAACCCTGTGGTGGAAGCACTTCCCTGTCTGGTGACTGTGTATTATATTCAATATGTATATATATATATACAGGAAGGCCGCGAACCGAACCGCAAACCGGAACCGAACCGCCAGGAACCGTTCAGCCCTGTGAACCGCAAAAAACCGCAAACCGCTGAACCGACACGCGACACGAACCGCGCGAACCGAACCGCAGAACCACTCCATCCATCCCTCCATCCGGCTCCCTCCCCCTCTCAAACACCTTCCATCCACACGCACCAAGCTCCTGCCCTCCCTCCTTCCAAACCCCTCCATCCATCCAGTCAGGCCCCCATCCTCCATCCAGCCAGGCCCCCTCCATCCAGGCCCTCCATCCAGCCAGGCCCCCTCCATCCAGCCAGAACCCCTCCATCCAGCCAGGCCCCTCCATCCAACCAAGCCTTCTCCATCCAGCCAGGCACCCTCCCCCATCCGCCCTCCATTCAACCAGGCCCCCTTCCTCCAGCCAGGCCCCCTCCATCCAGCCTCAAACCCCTCCATCCAGCCAGGCGCCCTCCATCCAGACACGCCCGCCCTCATCCAGCCAGGCAGCCTCCATCCAACCCCCCCTCCCCGCTTGTCCAACCCCTCCCCCTCCATCCAAGGCACCTGCTCCATCCAACCACAAGCGCCCTCCATCCAACCCCCCCTCCATCCAAGCGCTCAGGCACCTCCATCCAAGCGCCTGCAGGCACCCAGCCAGACCCCCTCCATCCAGGCTCCCTTCCATCCACCCTTCATCCAACTTGCAGTTCCAGCGCGGCCTTTCAAAATATTGTCAACATTTTGCCCTAAACCTAACACCCAAGAGAGGTGGGGTAGGAGAGTACAAGCCAGTTTCATCTAAGAGACACGGGTTCGGAAAAGGGCAGGGGTTTGGAAAAGGGCTCAGCATCATGAAATTAGGGCACCTTGAATATCCTAAACCCTAGAGCTGGTGCCGTAGGGCGTGGATGGAGGGAGGTTGGTGGATGGAGGCTGGATGGAGGGGTGGATGGAGGGTGGAGGGCTGGTGGCGGAGGGCGCGGATGGAGGGAGGTTGGTGGATGGAGGGTTGGTTGGGCTGGTGGATGGAGGCTGGATGGAGG